CTCCCCCCACTCGCCATCATGGACAGCATTGTGACTGCAGTGGAGTCATTAAGGTTCCTGGGCACCACCATCTCTCAGGACCTGAAGTGGGACACTCACATAGACTCCATTGTTAAAAAGGCCCAGCAGAGGTTGTACTTCCTTCGCCAGCTGAGGAAGTTCAACCTGTCACAGGAGCTGCTGAAACAGTTCTACTCCGCCATCATTGAATCTGTCCTCTGCACTTCTATAACTGTCTGGTTCAGCTCAGCTACCAAATCTGACCTCAGAAGACTACAGAGGGTAGTCCGGACTGCTGAGCGAATCATTGGTACAACCCTCCCTTCTCTCCAAGAACTGTACTCATCCAGAGTGAGCAAAAGGGCTGGCAAAATCACTATGGACCCCTCACATCCAGCACACTCCCTCTTTGAACTGTTGACATCTGGTCGACGCTACAGAGCACTGAGCACCAGAACGACCAGACACAGGAACAGTTTCTTCCCTCAGGCCATCCATCTCATGAACACTTAACAATAACTGTGGAACACACACTATTTATTCACTCATACACTTATTTATCTAACACACATACTCAGTCTACATTTCAATTTTCATAACATACATAATATACCTGTACATACAACTGTCTATTGTTATATACCTGTACATGCAATTGTCAATTTGTATATTTTTATTCCTAATTTACTTATATATATCATTTTAATTTTTTTTGTTTGTTTGTTTTTTAATCTGTGTTTTTTGTTCTGTCACTGTCATTCTGTTACACTGTGGAAGCTTCTGTCACGAAAACAAATTCCTCGTATGTGTAAACATACCTGGCAATAAAGCTCATTCTGATTCTGATTCTGATTCTAACTGTCACTTTGTGTTATTTATTCGATTAAACATTTTAATCGTTTGACAGCCCTAACCTTTCCCATTTTGTCATACATTAGTGGAGTAAAAAGACCAAGGTCTATTGTATGGGACCATTTTGAAAGCTTGGAGAACAACGTTTCTGTGATGCATCATGAGAAAAACAGTGAGAATGGCTTAAAATAAACACAATATGCAAATTTGCTTGGAGTCCAACTGTCAAAGAACACATGTCAAAAAAAAAAAGCCTGAGGAAATGCCAGAAAGTGTGGTGTGTCACCTGTTTCATAACATCTACAGCATGCTTTAAAAGTCACGCATTCATTTCTCATCGTAACACCACCTTGTGCTGGAATGAGGTTGAAAGCACATGATCTCAATATAATCTACCGTCTTCTGCTTAATTTCTCAACACCACTGATCTGAACCTGAAGATGTTTGTGACGTGTGAAAGTGTTTCATGTCCTGACAGCAGATCGATAACATACTGTAACAAGACTGAGTGCTACAACACCATGTAAAATTCTGTCCAGCTTCAAGAAATGACCTGAATGACAAGAGAAACGTCTGATAAAGGAACACATGGTGTTAAGGGCTGTATTGTACTTTTAGAGGTGTCAATGGTTAAGCAGACACTACGACTTTTATTCAGAGTTTAGCAGTTGTCTGCGTTCTTTAGCAGCTGCCATTGACTAAGGACACATTTGGCTTCGTATCAATGATCTGTGCATCATACTGGGAGCATTTACATATATATGCATTGATATCAAGAGAAGTGGAAACTTTAAACAGCTCTTGAAAAGGCAGCTGAAAAAGCTTCAAGAGTGAAACTAATGTACTTGAAAACTGGATCTCAATAAACTCTATTTATCTAAACACAATCTTCAGTATTCTTTCTAGCTTTAAAGGTGTTTTTGTGTTCATGAGATGTTTTGAACAGTGAAAGGCCTTCGGCATAACCACATTGCATGCTGCTCGGCAGGTCTGAATTCTTTCTGTCTTTTCTTTCATCTGTACTGCGAGGGAATGAAAAAAATCTTTGAAAACAACATTTTACAGGTTTTCCCCAGGAGAGTTTGCCTAAATCTGTTCAGAATGACAAACAGCACACGCAAAATAATTATGACATTACACATTTTCCTGATTAATACTTTTTCAGACGTATACATCTGATGAGAACAGTGCCACTTCATTAGCCTGGCACAACTATGGAACGATTTTCCGGACAATTTTCAAATAGACCGTGCCGAATGCTCTGATCAATGGAGGTAATCGATAAAGGCTCCGCTAAAGGCAGCTACCAATCAGTTTCGTACCTGTGTGAACGAACAGAAAATCAGTGCAAATCTACACTTATTTACCTATTTGCCGCCTATATCTTACTCCTATCTAATCGCCTATGTGCACCTGCCTCAAGATCTCTCAGTCTGTTTACTATCCGATAGATGCATGTGACAAAACAGAAAATGCTGCTACTCTTGACGCAGCGAGAGTGAACAAGCAGACGTGGTAATTAATATTGCTATTTAAATATGACAGGCTCATAACTTCTAAGACATGGGAAATACAGCTGCAAATGGACTTTGCTTTTTCATTTGAAATTTGGCAGTCACTGTGCGTTCGTGAAAGCGAAAATGCAAACGGTAATGCAGGATTTGCAATTGCATTTGGATTATGTCACAATTTATGCGTCCACATATTGAAAACGCAATTGAAAATACAATTTGCTATTCTATTTGAAAATTGTCCGGAAAATCGTTCCATACACAACTGCAAACTCAGTTTCTTTCTGATGATCACCATTACAATACAGAGGAAGCTGACAACATCTGCTTAAATAAAACCAGTACAATAACATTAAGCGACTTTGAATTGAACAGTTACAAAGATGAATTTGCACCCTTGCTTAAATTCAACAAGTAGGTAATATTCTAGAACTGTGAGAACCTGCTCTGATGCCTCTTGGCTTTGAATGTACAGATTCATGTGTGCTTGATGTGGGAAAACAACGATCATTGGTTCTCACATGTCTTCCGTTTACCATAATTAATGCATTTATTTACAGTTTTATAACTTTTCTCTGTTACTCCTATCCCTAGACAATCTTCACATCTGGGACGTAACAAAGACTAAATAAAAATGCAAAAATGGAACGAGAACGAGTAATCAAGTAGAAGTACAAGTAGTCTGTTTACACTGTACAAATCCTCCAAAATAATCCTTATCCAAGTAAAATTACTCAAGTATGTTACAGCCCTGTCCTGTTGCAATCTGATATGGATTCTGATCACAGTAATATAAGCATAAAGCAATGTAAGTCACTTTGGATAAAAGCTTCTGCCAAATGTGTAAATAAACAGAAAACAAGCCCTGTGACGCTGTGGTTTACAGTTATTTTACAACAGCTGAAATATCAAAATGTTAAACATCATTGCCTGAGTCTGAAATCTTTGTCAAGTCCAAAATGAGCAAACACACAGCTGCTTCTGTCATTTTCATTTTGCAATCCATCCAGTCTTTCCAGTCAGCTTCAGGGTGGATCTTAGCGGAGTGCCGTGTGACGAATGAAGCTGAAAAGACTCGCTTCACATTTGAACACATACAGCCTCATTAGTGACTGGAAACTGGCAGGTATCCCTCTTTTAGTCTCCTGAATTAAAATAGTTACATTACATTTGAACATTGTTTGCAGGTTAATGAGTGATGAGAAGAAACTTTATCAATCAAATGTGTTCGTTCTGATTTCCAGTGACAATGCATTTGTGTGCTTTTGTTCTGCTGAGCTCGGCTTTGGCTCTTCATCATGCTTTACCTGTGGTAAGTTAGACAGTCATTGATGAAGCGATATACAGCTGCTGATTTTTTTAGACTGAAAGAGTATTGTTTTCATATCTCATGTTCTCAGGCCACATTTGAGGTAACTGGTAAGTTCATCACAGTCACATTGATCTGTTGTAAAGTTATGTGTGTGAAAAAGGCCAACAATCCATTCTCATGGTCAATGTTTGTATATAAAGACTCAACATCCTTAGAATACAAGCTATTGATCATATAAATATTACTATTAGGAAAGGCAATAGAGAACTTAAACTTAATCAAAGAGAGACATTTTGGATTTACAAATTAAAGGCCAATATGTATCCAGGATTAAATGAGGACTTGGATTTTACTTGGAATAATGTAGATGTAGCCTTAGGATAATGGATTTAACGCTACAAAAACACTACAAATGTATACGGCTGGAAGAGTGTTTTCAAAAAGCTGCATACAATTCGAGAGAGAGAGAGAGAGAGAGAGAGAGAGAATTTTCACAACAACTTTATTAAATCATACAAACAATTTCACAATATAATTTAAAAAACTCATCACATTACACATTTCCAAGGTGCTTCCACATGACTTAACATGTTTCCATTTCTTCACACCTAAAACTTACTCCAATACCAAATTAAAAAACAACATTCCATCCACTACTGTACAAATGACTTCATTATACCCCCACCAATGCAAAAAACTTTCAGTCATTAATCAACTTATAAAAGTTAAAACCAATCAATCAAAATTAATGTAGATAGCTCTCTTAGCTTGTCCAATTAAAAAATTCAGCAACTGACCTTTAGTTCTGTGAGCTGCTCTATAACGTGTGAATGTGAGTGAGTGTGAGTGTGTGTGTGTCTGTGTGTGTGTATGTTTGTGAGTGTGTGTGTGTGTGAGAGAGAGAGAGAGAGAGAGTGTGTGAGTGTGAGTTAAAAGATTGGTTTATGTGGTTTATGAGGACACAAATTTGTATAATGACATGGGTATGACATAGGTATTACAACGAGTATAGGAACA